CACTATTTTTGACTACCTGCAGTGGTGCAAATTACATATCTTTAATTTGATGCAAATTACAAACTCCCAACATTTTAATAACATACACTTTTCGTTATTTTTAGAGATATCTGGATGTTTTAAAAATATAAAATAATAAYCTAGCAAAAGAGCATAAGTTTAWACACTTATTATATGTAAACATAAACTTTATTTCCTATTAATATAATATGATGGTCAACGCAGGTTGATTTATTCATAAATATTTAGAACCGTGATTGAAGGTATTTCGCCAAAATTCAAATTTAATATAATATTATACCTGAATATATACCATTATTTCAATACAATTTTTTTATCCAGTATTATAGGTACAGTTTTATTTATTTATTCTTTTACTTCGAAGTGTAWAAAGCATTTAAATTGTAAATAAATAAAGTAAGGCATTTCTTTAAAAATGTATGATACTATAAATAATAGGTTATAATAATATAGTGTTATGTGACTAAACGAGACAATTTTATCAATTTAACAATTTTGTCATATGGTTCGCTCTAAACATGAAATAGGTACATTCTGTAAAATGGAACTTGTGACTCGAATATGTCACGTTATGTCTAATTCTAATCAATATCTAATCAACACGGTCTGGAGATTGATGCTTCATCCCATCAGATTAATAATTTTGCCACTTGTAGTTGTATATCCAGATCCTTCTTGCAGTTCAAAATGTATGTAATTATAATTATTGCAATATTTACCGCAAAGAATTTAATTTATTTATATATATTTAAATATTTTTTGTATAATTATTATGATATAATGAGGCATTTACTCCCTTGTAATCTTCGTCCCTAATTCAAAGCCTCCCTTTATTGAAATTAAAAAATAAAATAATATTCAAAAATAAAATTTAATATTATTTTATTGTCCATCTTAGAGCTCGATTTAAAATAGTTGAAATAAGATTAAAACCACGGAATTCGGCTGGTAAAATCAATGGGTTAAGCGTAACCGAGGAACTATGATWGTAAACCCAGMCTTTACTGTGTTAAAACAATATAATGTTATATAGAGGCATACCTGATAAATAATAATAATTGTTATGTTTTTCAGGAACGCAGAAGAGGTGAGGCGTGAAGACAATGAGCTGCAAGGCGTGTCACAACACGTCATCACCGTTGACGGAGAAGCGGTGACGTCCGTCAATGGAAAACTTTTGGCCGGGCACACAGTTGGTCGGGACGCGGGTGACGACGTGGACCAGGTGTCCGTCTGTTCATGTACGTGCGTGGGGCCAGTGCAGTACGACTACAACCGGGACATACGGCCGGCGGAAAGGGCGGCCGCAAATGCCGCAGCAGCGGCCGCCGTAGTATACAACAGTCCGCCGACCGAACAACCCCTGCTGTCCATGAAACGGGTGTCCATATAAGGACAATGACATCGATGGAGATTTAGGGTGGTTTTGGAGGACGGTATACTCGTAGGCATATATCGTACGGTCTGGATCAGGGTTGCAGCATGATGCATGATAATTTAGGGATATATTATTATTATATGTTCATTCCTCTTCCCATGACAAAATGTAATATGGTCTCTAAGTTTACTCGTCACTATTGCATGAAATATAGACGTGGTCATATTTAATTGTACARAGTCATTCAATAGTCTTCGTCTGTTTTCAAAAATGAAGATATTAGGATAAATTATTAGTAGTAATAAATAATCGAGTTTGATCAAGTGTTTTGTATTATTCCGATAGGTATATAAATATAAATGCAGTATTTTTCTCTTACGTCTATCCCGTCATCAACCGTCGACAATTCATCAATCATTACAAACGCTAATAGTAATATACTGTTTATTAGCTAAGAATCAAAAAAATATTTAATAAACTCGACTGTCTAATGCTTACAATAATTATATAAGGGTCGTTTAC